CGTAGGGCCGGTGCCCCGCGGCTCCCTGGGAGCCGCCGTGCAGGCGCGGAACCCGCTCGGGGGGTCCACCTGAGGAGGACCCCCTCCGGGACCACCTCGGCTCGGTAGCCCCCCAGCCCGGCGACCCGCAGAGCCGCCGCTGCCAGCTCTGCGCGCATGCGGCTGCTCTCGGCGGTCTTGCCTGCGCCGCCGCCGGCGGAGGCCCCGGTCTCTGGCGCCGCTGCCTGCGGCGCCTTCTCGTCCGGGGGTGCTGGAGTCGCCGCCTCGGTCTGGAGGAGCCAGAGCGCCGTCCGCTCCCCTCGGCACCGGAGGAGCCGGAGCGCCAGCGGCCTCCTTGCTGTACTCGTAGCTGTACTCCTCGCCCTCCCCCCCCGGCGCCTCGAGGGAGGGCCTGAGGCGGTGGAAGCGGCGGGGGGGACGCCGCCGCGCGCGCCCGCCGAAGCCGCGGCGGGAAGGGCGGCGTCGTAGGCGCCGGCGGTGCTTCCTGCTGCCGTGCGCGGCGGCGCAGGCTCCGGCTGCGCCGCGGGCGCCGATGCCGGGCCGGCGAGGTCGCCAGGCGCCGCGGGCTCCGCGAGCGCCAGGCCTCGCGGGAGGGCGAACGCGCCCGGCCACGCCGGGGGCTCCGCGAACACCGCTCCTGCCCAGCCGCCAGGCGCAGCCGCCGCCGCTCCGCCTGGAGCGGCCGCTCCACCCGCTGCCGCCGCTGCCGATGCTGCCACTGGCTCCCCACGGCTGGGCGGCCCCCACCACCCTGGGGCGGGGGGGATGGGCACCGCCAGCCAGCCCCAGGTCCACCCGGGGGGGAGCGCCGGCGCCCGCCCCGCAGGGCCAGCCTGACATGGCTCGGCCCGCCTGCGCTGCCCCATCCGCCGCGCCCCGCGCGGCCGAGGGCGGGGGGGACGCGGCGCCGCCCGGCCCTCGCAGCACCTCAAGCCACCTTGAGCTTGAGCCAGAATTGCTTGAGCCAAAATGGCTACGGACACACACACACACACACACACACACATACACATACACATACACATACACATACACATATACACACACACCACACACACACATACACACACACACACCTTTTCTCCATTTCGGACCGAGGTATAAGATTGAGGCCGGTTCGGGGAGGGTACCCTACTGTTGTTCGTGTTGGTTTGCTCTTCTTGTGCATCTTGGGGAGGGTATTTTTCCATGTTCTGTGTGTTTTGGCCGGCGGAAGGTCTCATGTTCTTGAGGGATGTGCTTCTGGCCTAGGGTACGATTGCAATCCCTATGAATCTGGCCTATTTTGGACTTCTCCGGCCCAGTGGTTTTTCATCGTTCTTGCGGAGATTTCCGATGCATTTGCCTCCTGACCGACCAGGTCGGACGAAGCGGGGTGGATTGACATTTGCTGCGGTGCAGTTGGTGTCGGCCCCGCCGCCGGGCGTTTGTCTAGGTACTCCGCGTTCCTTAGTGCGCTCCTGGAGGCCGCCGCCCCAACCGACAGTTCCACCTCGACCCCCGTCGCGGGCAAAGGCCGCGCGCTGATGACGCGGCGAAGTGGACCCCAGAGTCGGTTGGCACGCCTCCAATCTGCTTCAGAAACTCAAAGTCTACTGGCGCCTCTGGCGAAGGGGAATCCAGCTGCACGATCCCCAGAGATCCGATGCCGTGATGTTTTCACTGCGGGGCCCCCGAAAGTCTCGACCCATTCCACAGGGCCAGTTTTTCGTCCCGCGTCGTTTTGTTGACAGTCCCGGGACCCGGCGGGTTGCGCTAGAGACCGAAAACTGAGAAAAACCTCCGTCTGAGTCGGAGTGTTTTTTGGGGGGACTGTAAGCGACCCGAGGAGGGGAGGAGGAGGAGGAAGAGGAGGAGGAGGAGGAGGAGGAGGAGGAGGAGGAGGAGGAAGAGGAGTAGTAGGAGGAGGAGGAGGAGGAGGAGGCGGAGGGGGAGGAGGAGGAAATAGAGGCCGAACACCGATTTCTTCCATGCGTTGGAGGTCTGGGTCTGGTTCGCTGCCTCCCCTTCCCGCGCGCGCCCGACCCAGACATTTCGACTAGATTTGTTTGTTTGGTGCGCTGCCCAGAGGTCCCGACCCCTTCCCCCCGGGGGGCAGCTCCTCGCCCCAGGCCCTAAGTCGGGCGTGCCCCCCTACAAGAGGAAGATTCCAAAGATACTCCTGAAATGGTCTGGGGACGATTTGTTTGAGTATTCTTGACCGTTTTTGGGGTATTTGTTTGACTAAGTATTTTTTATTTTTCGTCCAAATTACACCTGTAGGGGGACAGGCCCGGCCTAACCCGAGAGCCTCTTCTTTGATTGCCCTGTTGGGCCCGAGGAAGGGCCCCTCTAGAGGCCGAGAGCGAGGAAGCACGCCAGGGCCAGCAAGCACAGATCGTCGGAGATTCGGCGTTTTTTTGAGCCAGATCCCCAGACCCCCCTTCGAGTTACACAAAAATCACGCCCCCAGACCCCCTCGAGTTCTTGAAAAGATCACGACGGGATGTTTTTTTCACGATTTTCGTCCTCTGGGGGGCCCTGCCTGGCCCTCGGGGCCGTCAAAAAACGGCTCGGGATGAAGCGCCTGTTCGGGGGGGGGTCGAGACCCGCGGGGGTGGACGTCGTGGAAAAGTCGCGACGCCCGGGTTCTGGGTCTCGTCGGGCCTCCCACAGAAGTGCGGAACGGTGCGGGCCCTGCCGGGACGGCTCCTCGAGCTTCGCTCCTGGAGCCTCGATCCTCGGGAGGACCCTGACCTTCCAGGAGGGCTTAAAAAATAGCACCCGACTTAAAACTGATCCCAAAGCTATCTTACGTCTTGGTTTTAGGCTGTTTCGCCCAGCTTTTTAGGTTTTTTAGGTCTCCAGTGCTAAAAAATAGCTCTCTGGAAGGTCAGGGGAGCTGGCCCGTCGGCACCGCCCGAGGAGCGCCTCCTGCGGCGAGGCAGCGTCCGGGAGTCCACGAGCACCTCTGAGATCCGAGCAGGCGCGAGGGGCTGCCGAGCGCACGAGGCGGGGCTCCCCCCCGAGGTCGAGGACGTCCGCCGCCTCCTCGCCGAGGGCGCGCCTATCCACGCGACGGACCGCGGCGGCAAGACGCCCCTGCACTACGCCGCCCGCAGCGGCGCGGTGGCCTGCGTGCAGGCGCTGCTGGATCACAAGGCGCCCCGTCGCCGTCGTCGTCGTCCTCCTCCTCCTCCTCCTCCTCCTCGCCGTCGCCGGCGCCGTCGCCGCCGTCGCCGCCGTCGTCGTCGTCGTCGTCGTCGTCGTCGTCCTCGTCGTCGTCCTCGTCCGCGTCCTCGTCCTCCTCGTCGTCGTCGTCGTCGTCCTCCTCCTCCTCCTTCTCGTCGTCGTCCTCCTCCTCGTCCTCGTCGTGCCGTGCCTCACGGCGAGAGCTTCCAGCGATGCCCAGCGGCGCGTGGCCAGCCTGAGGGCCACCCGCGGGGGCTTCGCCTATAGGCAGCCGCGCCCCCGCGGGCCGCGGCCCGGGCCACAGAGCGGCCGCGGCCCTCTCCCGGGGGCTGCGGCTCGAGCGAGAGGGCGCGAAGACGGCCACTCGTCGCGCATCGCGCGAAGAACCCACACCCCATCGAGGCACAGGGCAGTTTTTAATACATGGGATGAAAAATAGGTTTCTCTTATGCGTGATTAATTGATGAATAGATTGATGCATGAACTCATCGTTGGTTTGGATACTGAATCCCTGCAAGTTTAATACACGGTCCGCACGCGGAGCATGTATTGAAAACGGCACTGTATGAGCAAACCGTGACGGGGAGTTGTTCGCTCGTTTCGGCCGCTGGGGGCCCTGACCGGCCCTCGGGGCCGTCCAAGAAGACGACTCGCGCCGAAACGCTGGTGCCAGGGAATGGGTCCAGACCGCCTGGGGGCGACGCTATGAGCAGACAATGGCGTCGGGCGTCGGGGGTCTGGGCGGGGGCGAGGCGCGAAGTTGGGCGACCTGGGCAGGCTCCACCCGACAGGTTGGTGCTGTGGCTCCCGACCCGCCTCGCGCACCCTGCGTGCCACGGCCGCCAGGCCCAGCGCGTGCAGTGTGCTCTCCCTGGGTATGCCGCCTCGTGGCCTCGCTGACTGGCGACTGCATCGCGCGGCCGCCAGGCCCAAAAATGTGCCGGTGCTCCCTGGGTATCCCACCCCACGTTCTTGGAAGGGGATCACTGGAAGCCAACAGATTTGGATCCCGGGTTTGTCCCAGAGTTCGTCCTCCCGTGGCCCGTTCAGTTCTACAGGGCCGCAGGTTGGAAAATAAGACGCATCGGCGGATGTCTGGGAGCATCCTGTTGCCAGGGCCTTCTCCTCCTCCTTTTCCTCCTCCTCCTCCTCCTCCCCCTCCTCCTCCTTCTCCTCCTCCTCCTCCTCCTCCTCCTCCTCCTCTCTTCCTCCTCCTTGCTTCCTTGCCTCCTCCCTCGGCCTTTGCCCTCGAGCCTTCTCCTCGGAGGCCTGGTCCGGGCGGGCCCCGGGAGAGGTACGGCGGGCTGCGGTGCCCGTGGCCCCGTGCGCCCTGGCAGCGGAGGGGTTCTCTTCATGTGTCGATCCTGCTCGCGAGCCCTGGCCAGGATGAAGTCGGGCCTGTCCCTTAGAGGGGGAATGTTCAAAAATAGTAAGATATAGTCTGGAAAGATTTTTTGCATACTTTAACCATTTTGGTGCAGGGTGTTCCTGCCCTTTGCGCGGACCTCCGGGGCTTTCTTTTTGTGCAAGGCGGCGTGCTTCTCCACAGTTCCAGTTTCTTTTTCTTTTTCCCAACCATCCTGTGGTGTTGGGCCCTCGTTTTGAAGAGACGTCGCCCCGCGTTCCTTCCTTCCCGCTGCCCCCTCCCTCCTCCCATCTTCATCATCATCGTCATCATCCCCATCATCGTCATCGTCATCATCATCTGTCGTCATCATCATTATCACCACCCATGTCGGCACACCCCTCACACGTTTCGTGACCCCATAGGGAGCTCCACCGAAGGTCCCAGTGCGTGTGCCCGCATGCGTCCCGCACACTCATTTCGGCACACCCCTCACACGTTCGTGGCCCCATAGGGAGCTCCACCGAAGGTCCCTGGGTGTCCCGCATGCGTCCCGCACACCCCCGGCACACCCCTCACACGTTTCGTGGCCCCATAGGGAGCTCCACCGAAGGTCCCAGTGGGTGTGCCCGCATGCGTCCCGCACACCCATTTCGGCACACCCCTCACACGTTTCGTGGCCCCATAGGGAGCTCCACCGAAGGTCCCAGTGGGTGTGCCCGCATGCGTCCCGCACACACATTTCGGCACACCCCTCACACGTTTCGTGGCCCCATAGGGAGCTCCACCGAAGGTCCCAGTGGGTGTGCCCGCATGCGTCCCGCACACCCATTTCGGCACACCCTTCACACTATTCGTGGCCCCATAGGGAGCTCCACCGAAGGTCCCAGTGGGTGTGCCCGCATGCGTCCCGCACACCCATTTCGGCACACCCCTCACACGTTTCGTGGCCCCATAGGGAGCTCCACCGAAGGCCAGTGGGGTGTCGCATGCGTCCCGCACACCCATTTCGGCACACCCCTCACACGTTTCGTGGCCCCATAGGGAGCTCCACCGAAGGTCCCAGTGTGCCCGCATGCGTCCCGCACACCCATTTCGGCCCCACCCTCACACGTTTCGTGACCCATAGGGAGCTCCACCGAAGGTCCCAGTGGGTGCGCATGCCCCCCGCACACCCATTTCGGCGTTTCGTGGCCCCATAGCAAGGTCCCAGTGGGTGTGCCCGCATGCGTCCCGCACACCCACGGCACACCCCTCACGTCGTCCCACTCCACTGTGCGTCCGGCGTGGCCCCATAGGGAGCTCCACCGAAGGTCTCAGTGGGTGTGCCCGCATGCGTCCCGCACACCCATTCCGGCACATCCCTCACACGTTTCGTGGCCCCATAGGGAGCTCCACCGAAGGTCCCCGTGGCGCAGTCCACATGCGTCTCCTTTGCCCAGTACAGCGTTACGTGGCCCCATATGGAGCCCCACCGCAGGTCCCAGCCAGCCAGCTAGCTCTCTTTGCTCCGCGCAGCGGGCGACCCGCGCGCGTCGCTGGGACTCCTCCGGGGCGACCTGCGCGCGTCGCGGGGGCTCCGTGCTGCGTTCCGCCCAGCGCCTCGCTCGCCCGTCGTCGCTCTGCCCAGCGGCAAGAGCCTTGCCCGCTATCAGCCAGCCAGCTAGCTCTCTTCGCTCCGCGCAGTGGACGACCCGCGCGCGTCGCTGGGACCCCTCCGGGGTGACCTGCGCGCGTCGCGGGGGCTCCGCGCTGCGCTGCTCCCGCAGCCTTGGACTTTTGAGTGCGCGGGCAAAGAGGGAGTAAAGGAAGGGGAGGAAGCGGGCGCGATCCTCGCGGGGGGGCGCGCCGACATTGGCGTCGCGGCGCGCGGGCGATGCCGTCGGGGAGTCCCGGGGAAGCTCCTTGCGGCGGCCACGCCCAGCGTCACGAGTATTCAGAGGCAGTCGTTGTCAAACTATTGGCATTCATACACATTTGCACCACGCTTTGTCATATTCGCATTCATGCACGTAGACTCGCTCGCACGCAGATCATTCACAGTCAGACGCACGCGCGCAGATTCACCCGCGCTCAGTCTCCCTACGTACTCAGATCAATCGTTTTCGTTCACTTTGTGTACCACGCCACTCATGTCGGCACGCCCCTAGCACGGTTCGTTGCCTCATAGGGATCGCCACCGAAAAAATGAATCACTATTGCGGTACTCGCACCTGCATATGGTTGGGTCCCTCGTCAGGCTAATTCTTTTTTTTGCTCGGGCACTGTGACCCCCGGGGACCGTTCAATACCTGCGACGCCCTTGAGCTGATGGTCATACATCTCGCCTCCGTCGCTAGGTTTTGCCCGCGAAGTATTGGTTTTAAGGGAGGGTCCTCCTCCTCCTCCTCCTCCTCCTCCTCCTCCTCCTCCTCCTCCCTCCTGCCCCTGCTCCTGCTCCTGCCCCTGCCCCTGCTCCTGCTCCTGCTCCTCCTGCTTCTCCTCCTCCTCCTCCTCCTCCAACATGTGGCTCTCGCCGTAGCGCAGCGCACATTCGTTTTAAACATGTGCAAGAGCTTCACGGATAGATAATAACCCGTTTTCAAAATGTGGCTCTCGCTTTAGCGCCGCGCACATTCGTTTTAAATCATCCTGGCGAAGGTCCCAACCATATGCAGTTGTGGGTACCGTAACTGTGAATATCTGCTTCGGTGAAGCTCCCGATGGGGCCACGAAGCGCTGCACTGGGCGGGGGGGAACGCTGTACTGTGTGGGTGGTGTGCCGAATTGGGTTTCCAGGACGCATGCGGACGGTCCCACTGAGGGCTTCGGTGGAGCTCCCTATGGGGCCACGAAGCGCTCTACTGAGTGAGTGAAAATGCCAACTTGGGCTTCCGGGACGCATGCGGACGGTCCCGCTGGGGGCTTCGGTGGAGCCCCCTTTATGGGGCCACGAAACGCTGCACTGCGCGGGTGAAAATGCCAAATTACATTTCCCGGACGCATGCGGACGGTGGCACTGGGGCCTTGGGTGGAGCCCCTATGGGGCCACGAAACGCTGCACTGGGAGAGTGAAAATGCCAAATCGGGCTTCCCGGACGCATGCGGACGGGGGCACTGGGGCCTTCGGTGGAGCTCCCTATGGGGCCACGAAACGCTGCACTGGGTGTGCGGGACGCATGCGGACGGTAGCGCTGGGACCTTCGGTGGGGCTCCCTATGGGGCCACGAAACGCTGTACTGGGTGTGCAGGACGCATGCGGACGGTAGCACTGGGACCTTCGGTGGAGCTCCCTATGGACTGGGTGTGCGGGACGCATGCGGACGGTAGCATTGGGACCTTCGGTGAAGCTCCCTATGGGGCCACGAAACGCTGTACTAGGTGTACGGGGCGCATGCAGACGGTAGCACTGGGACCTTCGGTGGGGCTCCCTATGGGGCCACGAAGCGCTGTACTGGGTGTGCGGGACGCATGCAGACGGTAGCACTGGGGCCTTCGGTGGAGCTCCCTATGGGGCCACGAAACGTTGTACGTGTACGAGGCGCATGCGGACGGTAGCACTGGGCCCTTCGGTGGGGCTCCCTATGGGGCCACGAAACGTTGTATTGGGTGGGTGAAACGCAGGGAGGAGGGGGAGGAGATCCACGAAACGCTGTACTGGGTGTGCGGGACGCATGCGGACGGTAGCACTGGGACCTTCGGTGGAGCTCCCTATATGGCCACGAAGCGTTGTACTGGGTGTGCGGGACGCATGCGGACGGTAGCACTGGGACCTTCGGTGGGGCTCCGTATGGGGCCACGAAACGCAGTATTGGGTGTGCGGAACGCATGCGGACGGTAGCACTGGGACCTTCGGTGGGGCTCCCTATGGGGCCACGAAGCGTTGTACTGGGTGGGTGAAACGCAGGGGGGAGGGGGAGGAGGGCCACGAAACGCTGTACTGGGTGTGCGGGACGCATGCAGACGGCAGCACTGGGACCGTAGGTGGGGCTCCCTAGTATGGGGCCACGAAGCGTTGTATTGGGTGGATCAAACGCAGGGAGGAAGGGGAGGAGGGAGGAGTGGGAGAAGGAAAAGGAGGAGGAGGCGGAGGAGGAGGAGGAGGACGAGGAGGACGAGGAGGAGGAGGAGGAGGAGGAGGAGGAGGAGGAGGAGGAGGAGAGGAGAGGAGAGGAGAACGCGGAGCAACGTTTCTTCAAAACGAGGACCCAACACCACAGGATGGTTGGGAAACATGCAGGAGGTTCACGGACTAAGGGCGGTTCCTTTTCAAAGTGTGGTTCTCGCGTTGGTGCCGCGCACATTCATGCATACAATGTGCAAGAGTTTCACGGACTCCCACGATCAATGTACCAGGAACGGTGCTTTGGTAGGATTCAGGATTTGGCGGGTGTAACAGTTACGTTGAGTCGCAGTGTTGAAATCCCAAGAATGGCTTTCTGGCACGATCCAGGATCGTCAAGTCGCAACAGTCAGGTTGATCCGTGGCGTTGGAATCCCGAGAACAATGTTTTAGCATGGTTCCGGGTCTTCGATCGGGTGTTTTCCAACGAAGCAGACCCCTCAATGGAAGTGAACCGTTGTAGGGGCCTATGAGGAGGGAGCTTGGAGGGAGGTTGTATTCCAACATCGTTGATGGCTTTTGGTTTTACACTGGTCCTCCTCCTCATCCTCATCCTGCTCATGCTCATGCTCCTCCCCCTCCTCCTCCTCCTCTTCCCTCTCCTCCTCCTCCTCCTCCTCCTCCTCCTCCTCCTCCTCGTCCTCCTCCTCCTCCTCTTCCAGCTGCCTCCTCCTCCTCCTCCTCCTCCTCCTCTTCCAGCTGGCTCCTCCTCCTCCTCCTCCTCCTCCTCCTCCTCCTCCTCCTCCTCCTTCTCCTCACTCCAGTAAGAGGCGGACCCGAACGTGGGCGACACCTCGAGCAACCTCCGGCCCGTAGACGAGGCGAAGGGGGCAGCGGAAGCCCCCCAGGGGTCGGCGGTGAGGATCCGCCCGCCTTCCTGCAGGAAGGGAATGCAGGGGAAGGAGAAGGAGGAGGAGGAGGAGGAGGAGGAGGAGGAGGGAGCAGGTGGAGGAGGAGGAGGAGGAGGATGAGGATGAGGAGGAAAGAGGAGGAGAGGAGGAGGAGAGGAGGAGGAGGAGGAAGGAGGAGGAGGAGGAGAGAGAGGAGAGGAGGCGGAGGAGAGAGGAGGAGGAGGAGGGTGAGGAGGAGGAGGAGGAGAGAGGAGGACGAGAGGAGGAGAGGACGAGGAGGCCGGAGGAGAGGAGGAGGAGAGGAGGAGAGAGGAGGAGAGGCGGACGGAGGGAGGCAGGAGGAGGAGGAGGAGGCGAGGAGGAGGAGGAGGAGGAGGCAGGAGGAGCAGGAGGAGGAGGAGGCAGGAGGAGGAGGAGGAGGCGGAGGAGGAGGAGGAGCAGCAGCAGAGGAGGAAATGGTACCGAAACCGCTGCTCGGCTTGGAGAGCCCTGTTCGACTGGGCCACGGCAAGATTCCCTTTTGAGTGTTTGTCCTGTGTGTCCCACCGGAGCATACGAAGGAAGAGGAGGAAGAGGAGGAGGGGCAGGGGGATGGGGGAGGAGTTAGGGCAGGAGGAGAGGGAAGGAGGGGGGGATCTTCGGGAGGGGAAAGAAGTATCGATGACACGCCATCGATGATGGCTAGCCCGTCAGCGTGCTGCTCTTTCGGTGTTCCCCGGATGCTTCGTGTTTCTTCAGCAGTAACACGCTGATAGGTTTCTTCGGCAAGTCATTGATACATACATAATCATATCGATATATGTGTTTGTATACGTTCTTGTATACATACGTAGACATCTGTTATGTCAGCTTGTGACAAACAAATGGCTACCCCCCGGGCTGATGAATGCGCGAAACATTTTTTAATCACGCGCGCCAGGGGGTCGTGGCTGCTGCCGCCGAGGGGATCGTATACCCCCCTGCATGACAGCCTCAAAACGATTGCCTTTCGTATAGAAGTTGTTAGGGGTCGTACACCTCCGAGGCGATTTCCGTTCCCCCCTCTCAGGCGTCGTCGTCGTCGCCGCCGTCGTCGTCGTTGTCTTTTTCGTCGTCCTTGTCGCCGCCGCCGCCGTCGTCGCCGTCGCCGTCGCCGTCGTCGCCGACGTCGTCGTCGTCGCCGTCGTCGTCCTCGTCTTCGTCCTGGTCTTTGTCCTCGTCGTTGTCGTCGTTGTCGTCTTCGTCCGCTTCGTCGTCGTCGCCGTCGTCGAGCACAGCGGGCCTGCGCAGCCCCCCTCCCCCCCACAGGGCATCCGCAGCGCGTCGTCGTAATCGCGTCGTCGTCGTCGTCATCCGTCGTCGTCGTCGTCGTCGTCGTCGTCGTCGTCGTCGTTTTCGTCTTCGCCGTCGTCCTCGTCGAGCACAGCGGGCGTGCGCAGCCCCCCCCCACAGGGCATCCGCAGTGCGTCGTCGCCGTCCGCCGTTCGATGTCCTCGTCCTCATCCTCGCCCTCATCTGTTTCGCTGTCGTCCTCGTCTTGGTCCTCGTCTTCGTCGTCGCTGTCGTCGTTGTCGTCGTCGTCGCTGTCGTCGTCGTTGACGACTGCAGAGACCATGACAGGGGAGGAGGATGACTGCCCGCCTTGCTCGGGTCGGACGAAAGGCTGGGGAAGGAAACGGGGGTTGCGAAACCTGCTGCGCGCAGCTGGTTTCGGTCGCCCCGCAGAGGGGCCAGTCCTCGATGCATGGCGTCTTTCGTCGCCAGGGGGCGCTCGGAAAATCAGCACTGCGAGTTGCTGGGCAAATCCCCGCTTGGCCACGCGCCCATTTCGTCCAGCCCGCCTTGCTCGCGGGCCCGCGAGGCAGCTGGCGCCCCCCTTTTCTGCGGCCAGGGCAAAAGGAAGCGCATCGGTTCGACAGACAAGAACACGGAAAGTGCGGGGGTGAGCGCCGACAGCATCTCTTCTTCATTTCGAACAGGCGTCGCCCTGGTTCACGGTTCCTGTTTCTGCCGCCATTGTTTTTTGCCGCCCCCCTCCCAGCCCCCAGTTTGTGCTGTCTGTCGCCTTCCTGCTGGCGGCTGGGCGTCGGCGCTAATCGCCGGCGCCGCCATCGTTGCTTTTCAATATGGCTGGCGCCACCCCGCGATTCGCCCGAGCAGGGGGACAATTTTTTTGCACCCGCTACCCCCCGCGGATATGTGAATCACAAGCTGACGCTGTGTTATATATACGTGTATATATATATATATATATATACATATACATCTATACATATATACATATATACATATGTATGTATATATATGTATGTATACACGTGTGTGTACAAATTTGCAGTGGCGTTTCGCGTCATACGCCGTATTCCCGACGCTTCCCCGGCAAAGCAATATATCATCGCTTGCTTCAGCAGGGCGACCTCGAGGCCTGGACGGGCGACCGGTTCGTTTGTTTTTGATATCCCTGGTGCGTGCTGACACCCCGATCGCCCGATGCGCTTGCACGCTTGTGCGCAGGCGTGTGGAAAGAATTATGCTTTTCCCACGCGCGAAGGTCCTTTGATCACCGAGCGCGTTCCGCTATTCGCGAAGTGCCTACTCGCAATCGTCCGAAAACCAAAAACATGTCAGAGTAGATCCTCCGCGGGTGATCCAGGCCATTTGCGAGTAGTCACTTTGCGAGTGGTGGAACGCGCTCTCTAGAGAGGAAAGAATGAGCGTTCCCATGACACGCCGGAGAAGTCGCAGTAGTTCCGAACAGATCAAATGTCGGTCGCTTCCTGAATGCCTGGAGGGCTCCTGAATGCATCGAGGGCTGCAGGCGTTTAGGGAATCCTCGATCGTCGAATTTCATTGCCTGTTTCTCTCGATCGCGGAATTGATACCTCGAGCCTCAAGCGTGGAACCAAGATCGTCGTGTCAGCTCG